GCAGTGGTGCACACGCACAGTTACCACACAATTATTCAACACGTTCAATAGGCGACGTTTCGGGTAATGAGCCTTATTCGCCGCACATAGAAGGCCAGAGAGGTACACTCTCTCATCTTTCGCGCCTCTGCCGTGAAGAGGGCCCATTGCTCGGATCGTCGGGACAATTGTGTTGACTGTAGTGGGGGTTTGAACAAGAAACGATGATTGCTGGCGTGCTCGCTCGAGCCAGCGGCTCGCTGCCGAGAAGCGAGAAGCAGAGAGGGAGACGGGGAAGAGAAAGGGGAGGGGGGGGAGGGAGAGGGGGGAGGGGGGAGGGAGAGGGGGAGGGAGAGGGGAGGGAGGGAGAGGGGGAGGGAGAGGGGGAGGGAGGGAGAGGGGGGAGGGAGAGGGGGGAGGGAGAGGGGGAGGGGGAGGGGGAGAGGGAGAGGGGGAGGGAGAGGGGGGAGGGAGAGGGGGAGGGGGAGGGAGAGGGGGAGGAAGAGGGGGGGTGAGGGAGAGGGGGGAGGGAGAGGGGGAGGGAGAGGGGGGAGGGAGGAGGGGGAGGGGGAGGGAGAGGGGGGGAGGAAGAGGGGGGGTGAGGGAGAGGGGGGAGGGAGAGGGGGAGGGAGGGAGAGGGGGGATGGAGAGGGGGGAGGAAGAGGGGGGGTGAGGGAGAGGGGTGAGGGAGAGGGGGGAGGGAGGGAGAGGGGGGTAGGAGAGGGGAGGGAGAGGGAGGGGAGGGGAGGAGGGGGGAGGGAGAGGAGGAGGGAGGGAGAGGGGGAGGGAGGGAGAGGGGGGAGGAAGAGGGGGAGGGAGGGAGAGGGGGGAGGGAGAGGGGGGGGGGCGGCGTGCCTGTGCGTGTGGGAGCCTGCTGCAGGCATCCCACGCGCTGCTACCAACACTCCAACATAATTCTTCAGCCATAGCGATGTTCAACTTTTTTTTACCCAACTAATAAAATCACACTTGTCAACAATACTGCCTTCGTTTAACACGAAGGCTTAATAAAACCGCCTTAAAATGCAAATGACGTTTCGGACAATGACCCTAATTCATAACAGATAGCGAGCGATAGCATGTCGTGGTGATGTGTAATGAAAGAGGGCGATTGCCCAAAACGTCGCCCAATATCTATCTAATTGTGCTTGTGCACCGCTGCCAAAGCAAAAGCCGCAGAATCAGCAGCATCAGATAATTTGTATTTAAAGAAAATATTTCATGAACAGGTTTCACGGCCCCTGCTCACATTCATCAGTGGCGAGTGATTTCTAAACCGGTCATGGGCTCCACGGACTCTGACCCATCGTACACACCCGACTTGCGTGGTGAAGTAAGCTCATACAACAAACAGCTCCTGTGACTGAGGCCTTTTAGCAGGTTCGGTGGTGGTGGTGGTGGCGGCGGTGGCGGCGGTGGTGGTGGTGGCGGTGGTGGTGGTGGCGGTTGTGGCGACGGTGGTGGCGGCGGTGGTGGTGGTGGCGGTTGTGGCGACGGTGGTGGCGGCGGTGGTAGCGGTGGCGGTGATGGTGGTGGCGGTGGTGGTGGCGGTGGTGGTGGTGGCGGTGGCGGTGATGGTGGTGGCGGTGGTGGTGGTGGCGGTGGCGGTGATGGTGGTGGTGGTGCTGGTGGTGGTGCTGGTGGTGGTGGCGGTGGTGCTGGTGGTGGTGGCGGTGGCGGTGGTGCTGGTGGTGGTGGCGGTAACGGCGGTGCTGGTGGCTACGCTGCTGCACGTGGCGGCCTGTAACCCAGTGCTGTGGAAGCAGCAGCGAGGATTGGTGGATCACCGCACACATATCGTGAACAACCCCTTGACGTGGGTGGGCGTCAAGCAGCTTCCCGTACTCTGGCTCGCCAGAAGAAGTCGGTCCGGCAGAAATGTGTCGACTAATCTCCATCCTTCCCTTCTCTGTGCGATCGAGCGTTGCCACCTCGCACGCGTGAGTTTTTCTTCAGGTGCTCCGGTTTCCTCCCGCGTGGATAAACACTAAACAATTGGCTGGGGGGGAAAAAAAAACATCTTGATATATAGTGGACCGCGGGGCTTGGCCAATTGTTGGTCGTGACGGGTCACGTCGCGTGGCAACTGCTGCCGCTGCCTTCCTGTTCCTCGTCTGTGGTTCCTCCTCCTGACGCCTCTGAGTCGTCACCTCTCTCTCTCTCTGTACGAGAGAGGGCGAACACTGTAACATCGGTGGCGAGTGATATGTGAGCCGGTCGACGCACTCTCCAACCTTCACCGACCCGCACTCACCAACGTGAAGTATAGGCAAGAAATCTCCCCTCCCCCTCGACCCCAGCCCCTCCTCCCACGTCTGACAAGGCGTATTTGAGGCCTTCATCCAGCAGTGGATCGACAGAGGGCAATACATGCCCGTTCATAGTTCCCTGCAGGATCAAGAGCGTCACCCCTTTCCTCCCGAATGGAATATGGCGTTGCGTTGAAAAATCAGTGTTGAGTCTCCTTCGTTTTAACGCCTCGCCTGCAAATAATATGTTCTGTCGGCTGATTTCCGTGAAAGGGCATTTCTCAATTTCTTCACAAGTCAACTGGAGCCACCGGTGCTACCGGAAGGGTCGTATCTCCCCAGAGACATCTCAAGCAGCAACCTAAAAATACCACCCAGCACGATCCGATCGTCAAGGGGCAGTCTGCGGTCGTTGACACTCGCGGTTGGTCGCCCGTGGCTGGCCTGGCAAGAGACGGGGGGGGGCTGTGTGGGACTTCCCGTCTGGGTCACACAGCCGCGCGCGTTCTCGGGATCGTGGGGGGCTGTTGGGTCGAACGAGTAGCGTCTGTGAAGGCCGGCACGGCACGGCGCGTGATGGACGTGGTGTGGTCAGAAAAACGCGCGGTCGCCTCTGCACCACACAGCGTTGGTGGGCGGTGACTTTTTTTTCTGGACGATTTTGCTGGTTTTTCCTGGATGTTTCTGTTGTGCGTCGTCACTTAAAGAAGTTTCTTTGTTCATGGTTTTGTTTGTTGCGGTTGCGCCCGAGTCAAGAGCCGAATGGCTCACAGGGCTATATCTCCATATGTATACAAGGCAAAGTTGTGAATATGTGTGTCTGTTCAAAATGTTTAGCGTACTTCCCGACATGCAACAAACTGGAAATTTGCCATGTGGGTACTTTCCAGACTGTACACCATGCAAACATTATAAAAATACACTTTTGGGTTTTTTTTTGGGGAGGGAGATCAATAATGCATATATTTTTGGCACGGCAAGTGAGCTGTGACGTCAAATATGTCACGTGACCCGCGCATGTGGAAGCGTAACGCATTGTAGTGTAGTGGTTAGCGCTACGCTGCGCTACGAACCCGGTGACCCGAGTTCGATTCCCGCTTACGGCCACCACCGGTGACGATTATTTGAACCTAGGTCGACTCAGCCTCAAACAAGTAACTGGTGTGTTGTGTGTGAACACCGCCACTGGGGAGACAAAGGCGGCCGGGCGTGGTGAATCCAAATCCCGGGCGAAGCCGGGTAGTACAGCTCGTACCTGATAAATGAAACTGAAAAACTGAAACTGAGTGGCGGTGTTTACACATCGCACCGAGTACTCCATTTGAGACAGAGTTGACCTAGGGGAGATATTGCAGGGCTGGGCACCTCTATCAGCACCTGAATAAGGTACCAGCACACGGCGCGAACCGTCGGTTCAGCACAGCCGCAGAGAAAAAAAAACCCACACCCCAACGCAAACCGTAGAATTGCTGTAGCGGGGGCGGCTCCGCTGCTGCTGCTGCACGTGGCTGCCTGCAGTCCAGCACTGTGGAGGCAGCAGCGGGGGGGGGGGTGGTGGGTCACCGCACAGACGGGGTGAAACTCCTCCCTTCCCCGTGGGCGTCGAGAAGGACGAGCCATACCCTGGCTCGCCAGCAGACGGCGGTACAGCAAGTGGACTCATCGCCGTCTGTTTCTTTAGCATCGTCGTTTGTTTAAATAAGTAATACATAATCGCCATCATTTATTTGGAACAGGGAATAGAGCGTTGCTCCCTCGCGCAAGGCGTAGGGTTTCCTCCGGGTGCTCCAGTTTCCTCCTCCTCCCACATGAATAATAAACAAACACGACTCATCATCGTTAAATGGCTGAAAACATCTAAAAATAAAAACCTCAAGTTCGTAGCATCATCATCAGCAGCAGCAGGACCCTCCTAAAAAAGAGCCACATGATTTAGAGTGTTTCTCCTGCATAAGGCAATGATGATGATGACTGCGAATTCATGTCGTGCAGCAGCAGCAGGGATCGTCAGAGGCTGCGATGGTGGATTGAAGGAAGAGAGGCCTTCATACAGCGGTGGCTCGGAGATGTTAACTACCTCGCCTGATATACAAGAGGTCGTGGGTTCGATCCCGACCCTGATGACGCTGGCTGCTGTAAACTTTGAGTTTGCGTGTCTGTCTCTCTCTCTCTCTGTGGTCGCTTGGATTTTTTTCTCCGGGTCGTCCAGTGTTCATCCCTCCACGTGCGTCTAAACTGTTTGGCTGCTACCATCAATGTCCACGCGACGTCGAGCCAACTTCGTTGAGCTCTCATTTGTGGGTCGGGTCGCTTCCGAAAAAAAAAGACCTACACAGTCCACAGCTCAACGGGACCTTACCTGGTAAAAACAAATGTTTTAGTTTTAATCAAGCAGTGGATTGAACACTGCTGCTGCTGGGTGGACGGCAGTGGCGTCGTGGTTTAGCCGGCCCGTGTGCCCTCCCCCGCGAAGGACGCGATTTGAGGAGGCGGCGGCAGGGACCTCTCCAACCCCAACTCGAGTCTGAGATGACGAGGGTGGGGGTGAGGGTGGGTGGGGGTGAGGTGGTGGGTGGGGGGTGAGGTGGTGGGTGGGGGTGGTGGGGGTGAGGTGGTGGGTGGGGGTGAGGTGGGTGGGTGGGGGTGAGGTGGGTGGGTGGGGGTGAGGTGGGTGGGTGGGGGTGAAGTGGGGGGCAGGGGTGTTTACGTCACGACGAGAGTCCTTATCTCATCCCTGGCTCTCTCTACCCCCACCACCACCCACCCCTCCTCCTCCACCACCAACCACGCGTCCACACCCCGCCACTTGTACAAGTGATCGTAATTGCCGATCGCAGGCACACACGGGCACACACACAGACACACGTAGACACACGGGCACACACACACAGACACACGAAGATAGATACACGCGGGTGGTCGCACGAGCGGGGATACACAGGCAGACAGGCAGACAGCGTGTGGCTGCAGTGTCCGTGTTCTGCAACGCTCCGTTTCGCCTTTCCGCTGTCACTGCCAACGTGGAGACATCGTCCGCCTCACCACCACCACCACCACTCCCCCGCACACCGCATGGACAGACAGGCGGCGCGGCGCTGCAGGCGCGCCTGGCAGAGGAAGGAAGCGACGGCTCGAGATGAGAACGGGCTCCGGTGTTAGCGCGTGAGAGTACATCAGCAGCAGCAGCAGGAGTACAGACTGCAGAGAGAGACAGAGACAAGATACACGTGGAACGGTGCAGCTACAAAGGTGAGTGGAGTGTCTCAGGCGCGTGACACCGCGAGATGCACGCGCGCGGAGCGCGTCTGTGTTGGTGGTGGTACAGTTTGTGCAGGTGGTGCAGGTGGTGCAGTTGGTGCAGGTGGTGGTGCAGGTGGTGCAGGTGGTGGTGGTGCAGGTGGTGCAGGTGGTGGTGCAGGTGGTGGTGCAGGTGGTGGTGGGGTATGGGGGATCGACGCAGCCCGCGGGCCAAACACGCGCCGCGACTGCGGTTCGTAGCCCTGCCGTGGCCACGTGAAAAGTTGAACAGCCAAACTCCTTGTTGACAGCACTTCAAGTGCCGCGCGGTTACCCCTTCACCCCCCGCCCCTTCACCCCCCCGCCCCTTCACCGCCCCTTCACCCCCCCCGCCCCTTCACCCCCCGCCCCTTCACCCCCCCGCCCCTTAACCCCCCCGCCCCTTCATCCCCCCCGCCCCTTCACCCCCCGCCCCTTCACCCCCCCGCCCCTTCACCCCCCGCCTCTTCACCCCCCCCCCCACCCCTTCACCCCCCCTCCACCCCTTCACCCCCCCGCCCCTTCATCCCACGGCTCCTCGCCAGCAACTGCGATCCACTCGGACCCCCCCCCCCCCCCCCCGTGTCGTGCCACCCTCCCTCCTGGTCACCTTGCTACGCTTCGTGGGCATCGCGACCATCACCACCCACCATCATCAGCACCACCACCACCCATCATCAGCACCACCACTCACCATCACAAACAACATCACCACCACTATCAACCTCAACATCACCGGCATCACCAACACCATCACCACCATAACTCACCATCAACAACCAACATCACCACCACCATCAACTTCAACAGCATCATCACCACCACTATCAGCACCACCAACCACCGACCCTAATCATCAACATCACCACCCATCATCCATGTCTCAAGCTTCCTGACCGGCGGCTCGCTAGGATGCTCTGCGCCCCCGTCTTTCAGGGATGTTGTGTGAGTGTGGGTGTGTAGGTGGGTGACTGTGTGAGTGTGTGGGTGTGTGTGTGGGTGTGTGTGTGTGGGTGTGTGTGTAGGTGTGTGTGGGTGTGTGTGGGTGAGTGTGTGAGTGTGTGGGTGTGTGTGTGTGGGTGAGTGTGAGTGTGTGTGGGTGAGTGAGTGGGTGATTGAGCAGGCGTGAACGAGTTGGGTGAGTCTTGTCTTGTGACGTTCATAAGGTGCTCCTCGCCAACAGCACTTGCCCCGACAGTCTGTCGAGGCTATACGGGGGATATTTGTCCCTGTCGTCGTGACTTGCAGTCTTGGTGGTGGTTGATGCGTTGGTGAGTTCGTGGCTGAGTCAGGTCAGTGAGTGGATGAGTGGGTGTGAGTGGGTGTGAGTGGGTGAGCGGTGGTGGAGCGGTTAGCGTTACGCTGCGCTATGAACCCGGCGACCCGAGTTCAATTCACCACTCACGGCCAACACCGCTGACGATTATCTGGACCGGTCCTGGGCCTCCCCTGGTTCGACTCAGCCTCGAATGAGTACCTGGTGCGGTGTGTAAACATCGCCGCTAGGGAGACAAAGGCGGCCGGGCGTGGTCCGGGCCACCCACCCCCTCGTGTGCCGTTCCGGCCTACATAGCTCGTGAACAGCACTTGCCCCATCAGTCTGGTAAGGCTATACGGGGGATATTTGTCTTCGTTGTTTTTGTGAGTGGATGAGTAGGTGATTTAGTGTTCATGTGACTTGCACTGTGGTGGTGGTAGTTGGTCACAGTGTGGTAAATGAGACCACACAGTCAGTGTCAGCCAGACACAGTCGTCAACACAGAGCCAACGAGCGAAGTTCGACGTTTCACACACAACAACAACATAAAACCACCAACACAGCAGTCGCCAAAACTTCCACGCACTGCTCCTTTCTGACAGTGCCGAGTCTGTGGCTGGCCCCACATCTCTTGTTGTTGTTTTATTTGGCTATGTACCTTACCCACCCGCGGATTAAAAACAAACACGCGCTCACCACGACCGCCAGCACCACGGCCGCCACCACCGCCGACCCTGGCCAGGCCGGGCGAAGCACGGTTGAGCCTGACTCTTTTTTTTGACACTTGACGGAAACCCCTTCTCGACTCAGGGGGTCAAAGGTCGCTTCGGGCGACGTCTCAGCTGCAGAGGACTCGGCAGCGGCCAAAACATTCCACGAACATTAACCAGATTTTTATGCTCGAACGTTGTTGTTTGTTTGTTGTTCAAACGATTCAAACTCATTCAAACATTTAAACCCGGGTAACCAGCTGAGATGCGACGTCTCACATTTGCAAGGGTGTCCCGGGGTGTTTGTTCGGTTGGCGGCGTGCACAGCAAACGACGCCGACGACACCACGTACGCGCACATCTTGAACCTGGAGCTTTGTACGGCGCAGTGCTCTGCTTTTGCACATTGGACGCCTACATCCATGGATGAATGGCCGCCTGATTGAGCAAATCGGTGGAAGAGTTTACAAATGAAGTAAGTACAAGGGTTTGCAGGCTGATGAAGTGTTATCATCATCATGGTCGTCAATTAGCATCATCAGCTGTTGACCAGCCGAATGAAGCCATGATCTACCCACTGCGAGATGCAGCCCATCCGCCCCCTCCCTTGCTGTCTCTTAGCAAGTCAGGGCGTTATTGGCACCCTCCCGACGCCGACGGGAAATGGAGTCACGTGATGTCTGCTGCGGTGATCCACCAACCCTCGCCGCTGACTCCTCTGCGGAGCTGGATTCCAGGCAGCTGCGTGCAGCAGCAGCAGCAGCAGCGTCGCCACCACGGCCGCCGTGCTGTGCCATTGGCAAACAACAGCATGCACAAGCAGAATAGCAACAATCGTAATTTACATTTGTAAAGTGCCGCAATTCATCCGTAGATCCCACTGCTCCGCCACCGTGTAGAGAAAGCAGGAAATGAACAGAACCTGCGGGGTAGACGGCCAGAGCTACAGGGTAAAGGCCAGTTTAAGACAGGACTTAAATATAGCTCACGACTCTGTCCTATTCCCAAAGGTAAAGCGTTACAAAGTTTGGGAGCTGCACAGTGGCACAAAGCCCGTTGATCGCCCCAGGAAATGAGCCTTGACCTCAGAGTGCTAACGAGGTCTTGGGGACCTCGTTGCTGTATCGAGACAAACAATTTCCTGTAAACAATTGCGGGGCTAACCCACTGGGTGCCTTGTAGGTCAGTAGCAGGGCCTTGTATCACACATCGTCGGAAATAGTTCAGAGCCAAGGTTATCTCCTGCGATGCCGCAATTCGTCTCGCCCCAGCGCGTGCAGCCGATTCCATCGCTCCGTCTCTTGAGGAGGCCGTGTCTCCCGGGGCGTGTTCTCTCCCTCCTTTGGCTGCCATTCTTTCACTGGGCTCGTCCCTCGACCGTCATCCTTTGCAGCCGTGGCGCGTCCAGCGCGAGTCCACGTCCTCTCCGTGACAGTCACTGCGATGCCTCCGATCATTGGCCTGAGCTGCCCGTCGTATCGTCGGGTGCTCGGCACCACACCTGGGCCGACGTTCTGATGCTTGCACAAAGATCCCCCGTATAGCCTTCAACAGACTGTTGGGGCAAGTGATGTTAGCGAGCACCTATGAAGGCCGGCAATGGCACACGAGGGGGTGGGTGGCCAGCACCACCGCCCGACCGCCTTTGTCTCCCAGTGAAGATGTTTTTCCACACCGCACCGGGATCTCATTTGAGGCTGAGTCGACCTAGAGGAGGCCCAGGACCAGTTCAGAATATCGTCACTGGTGTTGGCCATAAGCGGGAATCGAACTCGGGTCCACGTAATCATAGCACAGCGTACTAACCGCTACACTACCGTTCCCCATATAGATGTTTGCACGCACACACAGACACGACCTTGTGCTCATTTATGGCCAAGTCGACCTAGGAGAGGCCCCAGGACCGGTTTGGTTACCACTGGCGTCGTCCAGGGCCGGGAAATCGCACCCAGGTGGGCCACCGCTCCCCGCAATATCAATGCGGCGTGTTTATGCACTCGCGTTCGAATGCCAAACCCATGGCGTGTGCGCGTTGCGATCGAGATGAGGCATGTCAACACCAGGTGAGGGCTTCTGTCGGCATCCTTTACCCGGCTGCAGACAGATCTCGGTGTTTTCAACGCGAAACGCTTTCACAACAGAGAGACGCGCGGCAATCGTGCCCGTGGCCACCCTAGCCCAGAACGCAACTCAAATGTCGTTTTTTGACCTAGCCTGGCCTAGGTCAAAAAAGGTCAAATGTATTTCATTGCCCGATCATCAACACCACGGGTCAGAATGACCCCCTGCTTGACCCGTGTACAATATTTACCGAAGTGTGGCCGACTGACTCGCTAGAGAAACACGCGAAGTTCGTGATCGCTTAGACAACGATGGTGATGACGATGAACATGGTGATGTTTGCGTGTCTAGAGGGGCTTGCATTCACCATCTCAGGTCATCAGCAGCAGCAGTAGAAACAGCCATGATCTATCCACTGCTGGAACCCCGCCTCGCTCCTCCTTCCACGTGATGATAAACCACTTCACTCTCTAAGTATAAACCACTTCTTCGTTGAACTATTTTTATGACCAGGTCGCTTCTGAAAAATAGCTGTATAGTTCAGTGGGCCTTACTTGCTAAAATAAAAAAAAATAGTTTTAGTTTAGGGCTGCCTTATGGCCAGTCCCAGCCTGGCCTTCACCCCCTAACCCTTGACCAACGACTATCGCCCCTCACTCGAGCGACGGGCTCAGCCCAAGCCCCACCCTCTGTTTTCTGCACACATCCAGGCTGCTTTATCTTCGACGAGTGGATCTGCCGTTACATGACACTTAAAGTGCAAACTCCGTGGAATATGAAGATAGCAACTTGTAAATTCCAACCCGTGTCCCTTTAGAGAACACAACAAGACTAAGACCATCCCATTCCCCCCCAACCCCCCATATAACATTTGACAGACTGTTGGGGCAAGTGTTGTGAGCACAGAGCACGTTATGAAGGCCGGCACGGAACATTAGGCAGTG